TAATATCCCTTGAGGCGTAATCCTGGCTGGGAAATGCTGGGAGTTGCGGGCCTTTTTCCTCTCTAAATTATGAACAGGATCACTCCCTTTTCTGGATCTATTAAATCATAAACACAGAGAGATTCCCATATTCATTGGGTTTCTCTGAGAAGAATTGGCATGGGCATATTTTATTTGCAGCTGTGCCCAACCTTGTAAGTTCACGGCATGCAAATTCCCCAGCTGGTGCTGTGATGGGCACAAGCGGTGTTAAAAATTGGGTTTATCTCATGTACATGCCGCAAGCAGATCTTGAACAAAACTGTTGCTGTCTTCTGTGTGGTGGATTTTTCAGATGCTGCTCATACTATTATGTCCATCATTTCTTTCCAAGAATTATTCTCCGGAGAAGCTGCTGGGGAGCTAGTGATATATTAATATTTTATGGTGACAAAATGTTTGAATGTATGCGCAGGCAGATGCTTTGAAATACAGTTTGCCTGTAAACAGCTTTCTTAATATTTCATTCCCCTACTTTTCCCACAATGAGTTCTACTGCCAATTATATTTTTATGATAGGCAAATAACAGAAACGCGTCTGGGGAAAAGAAAGACTAGCTTTGTACTGAGGCAGCCACAAATTGGGAGGATCTTTAAGACCATTAAGTAAAAATGGGTGGTTCCACACGTGACTTGTGGGCCACACGCAGCCCCCAGGACCTTTTTCGGTGGCTCTCTTGCTGTTCAGAGTTCCCTTGTTCCCCCCACAGTCCAGATCCCAACAATGGCAGGGGCGTCTTGTGGCAAGCTCTCACGAGGCCGCAGTCCCACGCCGCTCTCTTCCTGAGGCTCAACCTGTGGGTCAGGCTGAGGCACATGGGAGGGTTTCTGGGTGGGAGAACAGGAAGAGAGAGAGGGCCCCCCCCAGACGAGCAGTTGTGCTGGGGCTGTGGTCGAAAAAGGAGCTGCCCCTGATCTCTGCAGAGATCACAGGCCCGCAGAGCATCCTTCTTCCTTCAGTGTAATTCATTGGGCCGTCCCTCATGCAGCCCTCGAGGTTTGCGAAGTCGGGCTGCCCCTGTATTACTGGTGCACACTACCCTAGAATGACGCACGCCATCTCTAGAATCTTTCTTTCTTTATATAGTCTCGAGGATTGTGAAATGATCTGGTTTTTGCTGATCTAAACATGTAATTTCGTGCCCCCCCCTTTTTCTGAGTGGCAGAATCTAGCAGAAAGTCCGGTTTGTGTGCTTGATGGCACATCTTTCTCCTTCTAATTCTATGTTTTGATGTAGGCTTCTCTTTGAATGAGATAACAAAGATATTCTGTAGTCCTTAACACGACTCAGCCTGTGACATACCACAGCTCCCTTGATACCCAATTTCTCATAGAGCCACGGTTGCTAGAGCCATCTTGTTTTCTGTGAGTTTCTTTCCTCCTTTTTTAATGACATTTGAAAAGGAGAGGGGATAGCTTTTGCTCTCAAATATTTGGGGAAATAGATTCAGCTCCTAAAAACTGGTGTGTGTGTGTGTGCACACGCACTAATTGCTGGCAAGATCCAGCCCTCCTGCCATGGATTATCCCCTGTGATTGCTACTGGGAGGCATACTGACCCTGAATGGACGTTCCAAATGAAGACCATGATTTTAAAAACTACAACTCCCAGCTCTCCTGACCATGAGCCATGGTGTTTTGGGATGATGGTAGCTGGAGTCCACAGTATTTGGACAGCACCAGGTTATGTGAGGCTGATTTAAGGGCATCTACATGTTTTTAAAAATGGAGGTTCTTTGGAAACAAATCAGAAACTAATTCAGTCTTTCAAAACTTCAGCCTCTTACCTCCTCCCAGTGTATTAACCTTCTAGGCACACTTCACCTCTCTTTTCTTTCCCATATCTGGACCCAAAACTCTAGCTTGCTGAAGGAGGAATGTTATAACCCAAGAATAAACCATGGGTTATAACTCTAAAATTGCATTGCTTCTCTACGCCATGCAGAGTTCCAGGTTTGGATGTCAAGGAGAAGAGCCCAAGAATGAAGAGTGAGAGCTGGCATGCTGATGTGCTCCTCTCAGTCCCAAACAATTAATGGTGAACAAGCTATAGGTTGTGTGAACAAAGTTAATGCAAGGACAGGCTTCTGAGCCTACAAACTGAAGCTTGAGCATTGGTTTGGCCTGGTGAAAGTGCCAGGAACGTGATCTTCCACTCTTGCAAAGCAGCCGCCGCCGCACTTGAACTCACTTGCCTTCCGTCAAGCTACAGTTTTCAGCATTTCCATTTGCAGGAGAAACCCAAGGTTTGGGTCTGACCACCCCTAGTCCCAGATGAGTCTCAATGAGATAAAGCAGTGGTGGACAACTTGTTCACATCTTCACAACCACATCTTCAGCCTGATTTTGAAAGCCCCTTGCAGGTGGTTTGATCAGACCCTGGGCAAAAATGATCACGCCATCCCCAACAGTTCACTTGGCAGACAGGTAAAATGAGGAAGAGAGAAGAAGATCACTGAGAGAGAAGGGTGGGAGGGAGAGAGAGATTGTGGGTCGTTCTGCACACATTTGGCTGACACACTAGCTTCTCTGCCGTCGCCCACTGATGGCATTCAGTCCCGGGCAGAATATGTCGAAGAAATGCAATCCCTTGATGGAAAATAGTTTCTCCTGATTTAAAGGTTAAATACAGTTTCTAAGAAGGCAAGTAGGACCTTTAACGTATTGACCTAGTTGGCTTGACAGAGCAACTCCAGCTGTGATAACCCATAGACACTTTGTCCCTGGGTTGTTTATTGCGATGATGGAGCCCAGAATTCTGGATTTTTGGGAAACAAGCAACCCAGAGTTTGACACTCTCCTGCTATTTTTTTCATCAATCCATTGATTGTTAACTGTGGGTTGTTGCGAGGTATAAACTGTTATCTTAATTAGAAGACCAATTCTGGTTCCTAACATTGCAGACTAGTACACTGCAGAATAGGGAACAGGGCTACAATAATTTCCATTCAAGTGGAGAGGTGAGAGAAGTGAAAAAATGCAGGAAAAAGAAGTACATTTGAGGATTATGGAGGCACACAATCAATTATTTAAATTTATTTAATGTTGTAATGGTTTCCCCTTATTTAACAGCACCAAGCTTTGCTGGATACATCAGTACAAGCAGCTGTCTGTTACATATTCAGTTATTAATTTGTCAGTGAAGTCAATAATTGAAATCTTTCAGTAATTTTAGTCAGTAAGCCGTTCTGTATCAGTTTCAGGAAGAGACTGCGTGTTTCTTTCTGACATACTGTATTGGATTGTGCACACTCTGATTTACAGCAATCTGCTCAGAAGTCAGACCGGATAAAAATCAAAACAATGACTGCACATGGTGTGTGTTTGCGTACCAAAATGTGGAGTGCACTGATAAACTCAAGTCCCTGTGTTACCTTTTCTTCCTTTTGTGAGGTTGTGTTCCACATGCTGACACACAGTTTGTTCCTTGCTTTTGTACAAGCAGCGCTGCATGTTCGGCAAGATCAGCGCTCACCACGGGCCGGGGCAGAGGGGGGTGAGGAGTGCAGAGACCGCAGTCCCCCTGTGGCAGGAATGTGTGCCTGAGCCACTTGTGATCCAGAAGCCCGACACAGCTCACTGGATTGCGGTCTACAAGTTACCTGATAACCTCCCAAGCCAGCAGTAAAAGTAGGCTTGTTCATCCTAGTGGGCCATCCCAAATGCCTAATCAGTGTCCAAGTCATGCAAATTGTTCCCTGGTAGGGTCAGAGGCAAGAATGGAATCCAGGCAAGCTGGGAATTGAGGTTCAGAGCAGTCCACAGAGTTTAGAAGGTCCTGAGAAGAGTACATCATCAAGGGGGCCTAGGTCAGGTTGCAAAGGGGTTGGTCTAGCCAAGGAACTCCAGTTTAGATTTGAGGATACCTTGGAAGAAACGAAAATATGGCAAGTAGCGTATTGCATAAAGGGATGAAATATGGATACAGAATGTAAGCAAGCCAAAGGAAGCCACATGCCCCTTTTCAGTGGCCGCACCGGTTGCCGCAACGGGCCGGCCAATGTGCCATGGGTCTCCTGGGCCAGCCACATGTCAGTTCCTCTCCCCAGGCTGAGCACGAAAGACAGTGCTTCTTGCCGTGGACTTGTAAGTTCTTCTCTGCCTGCTTCAGAAGCTGCCAGTGCATGCAGGCTCTCAGCCCCACTCCTGGGAGGCAGGGGACGGACAAAACTACTCCCCCGAGTCTTCCTCTTGCAGCAGCTGGAATGGCCCAGTGGGAAAAGGCACAAGCACAGGCTGCAGAACCCCAGGCTGTGAGTTCAGATCCCCGAAGGGGCAATGAGTACTTCCGAGCCAGCGTGGCATGGGGGTTAAGGGCACAGGACTGGGACTCGGGAAACCTGGTTCTAGTGCCCACTCAGCCATGGAGCTCCCTGGGTGGCTTTGCACCAGTCACAGACTCTCAGCCCATCCTGCCTCTCCAGGGTTACCATTCTGGGGATAAGATTGAGCGGAGGAAGAGAATTATGGAAGCTGCATGGAGGTCCTTGAAAGGAAAAACGGTGGGATAGAAGTATAACTTCAAAAAGCATCCCTTATCGACAGAATGACTGGGGAAGGCAGCTTCAAGGTCGCCGTAGTGGCGGCTTGTAGGCGTGGGCTCAAGGGGCTCCACGTCGTGTGGTCAGACGCAGCTTCCTCAGCACCCCAATCCCAGCCCTTGTCGGACAAGGCGCTTCTCCAGCCTGAATTATTCTGTGCAGCTGCTCAGGACCAGTGTGGACTAATTGGTCCATGCACCTGCCTTCCTGTGTTGACTGTGACTCTGCCTGGGTCACTTCCTGTTCTCCCAGTAGCCACACTACACCAACTGGGAGAATGGAGCAGGAGACAGCTACTTGGTCATGCCAAGGGAGTGGCTCCTCTCCAGAAATGCACAAGCAGAGTGCTTCCTGTGGCAGAGATGTGTCTCACTTTTGTGCTTTGTTTTGTTTTGCTTTGTTTTGGGCTTTTGCTGTAGCTTGTAAGGCCCTTGCGGATGAGCTGACATACGACATAAAGAAAATAGGTCCAACAAGGACTGTGAATTCAGGGACATTCCGACTCAACCCGGATGGCACACGAGGGAAGAAAAAGGTAAGAGACACACACGGAGAGAGATGGGGGTCCGTAATTGCTGGCATGTGCAATTACCAACCACTTACCCAAACAGCAGTTGGTCTCTTAATCTTCTAACCTTTTCCCGGGTAAGGCCAGCAGCCACTAAATTGCTTCGCTTTCCTCTGGGACTCAAAGTAATCTGTGAGCTTGAAATTGAGGTATTTTTCTCTTTTTCCAGGACCTTTTTATTTTTGGAGGGGGGCTTTTAAATGTTGAGAATGGAGCATTGTTCCATGGCCAGGTTGTGTTAAAGAGAAGTCAATCGGAGCTGTGTAAGCTGCTGAGAGAGAGAGGGAGAAAGAGAGAGAAGGCTCACTCCGAGCCAGCCCTCACCCCACTTTGGACACTCTCCCACTCACTGGAGTCATCGGCTGGCACTGGCAATATCCAGCAGCATCGTGGGGCAATTGGTTCACGGGCTCCTGCTCCTTCCCTTGATGTGCCTCATCTGGGGCTTGCAGTAATTCACACCTGGGGCCTTGCACACGCAAAGCGCGTTGCTCTCCCACCACTCCGTACCCTCTTGCCTCTACCTGAAGTCCAGCAGATACGCCCCAGTGGTGTGTAAAGCAGAGGGTGGGGCAGGGGCTAGGAAAGCTTGAAGGAGGTGTGTGTGAACGACTATAGGAGCCGAACTGATCTGCATCTCCCGTGGCCACGTATGGATTCAAACCTCGTTTTCTAGTTATTTCACACTCTTCAGAATTTTGCATTGCATTCCTTGGCTCAGAACATGGACCAACATGCATATTTAATCAGTAAAATACAGTTTTGATTTTATTAACATAAAATAGAGAAAAAGAGAGAGAGAAGCTTGAGAGAAAATAGTCAGGCTGCAATCCTATGTCCACTGCCCTGGGAATAAGCTCCACCGAGCCCAATAAGAGTTATTTCTGAACAGACGATCATAAACACTACTAGAAACACGTATTTCTGTGGGATAATACTTCAAAATGCATATTTCTATGCATATACAATTTTTATCTTCATGTGGATTTTTTAAAAATAAAAGCAAACCATAGATGAATGCAGAAACAGGACTGAATGGTCCTGGGAATGAATATTTACAAAAGTGACCTAGACTGAAAACGGACGGATCTGTCTTCCCTGCGCGGCTGGAATAGGCTCCAAGGGGAGAGCACCTTTGGAAGTGGCAACCCAGGGGGATGCCTGGAGGAGGGGATGGGGTTTATCATTTAAAGGGACATACCTGCTCCCCGCCCCCCGGCTGGGGTTTTTCCTAAGTTCTGAAGTGCTAGTGGGGAGGCATTGCCAACGCTTGGGGGCAGCTGATCACTCCAAAAAAAAAAAAAACTGGGCAATCCTGCTGCAAAAGTGAGGAAACAGCCCCTTTCCCTGAAGTGCGGTTCTGCAGGAGCTTTGCACGGGGCCGATGGGGCATATGTACTTCAACAGGTCAGCTCCAAGCATAGGGGAGGGGGGAATATTATACTGTCTAAAAAATGTAGGCAATCGTGGGCAACCCCCCCCCCACAACAATACTGCTGGAGGGGGCACCATGCAGATAATGCAAACCAGGACTGGGAACAGCACCTTCAGTGGGGGCTTTTGCGTTAGTTTGGGTCCAGCTGCGGCCAGCGCGAGATGGCTTGCCATGGCTCAGGACCGCACTGGGATCATGCAGGAGGCCGGGGGCCTGGGAGGATGGGGAAGAGGTGGGAGGAGGAGGCCCCGAATGCTGCTGTGCCTGCTCTTCTGTCAACCCCAGTGTGACCCCTCTCAGGGACTTCATGGCTGAGGGGACAATTCCCTGTTCAGCCCTGTAACCGCCAGGCATGAGACAGTCTTAATCACCACCCCATGCTTCCTACTGCCATGTAGAAATCACATGTCTGCAGGATTGGAAAGAAGTTTGTTTGTTTGTTTGTTTGTTTGATTGATTGACTGACTGATTGATTTTCTTTTTAAGGAAACGTACAACCCCATACCCCCAATATTTCTTTTTTTTATCCAGTAAGATTTAAGGAATTCCTGACAGGTGACCCTCCAGTTTCTTCTTCTTAAATCCTTTACCTGCTCATGTTTCTAGTGTTGAGGTAGAATTGCATCACACAGACAAATCACTTCACCGCAGAGATGATGAAACCGGAAGACGAGGACAGAGCTGTGTCTGCGAACACCTCTTGCACGGGGAAGTGCCACGCAGCTCTGCCTCTCCAGGCTGTACAGTGTCTGTCTGCATGAGATTTGAGTAGACAGCCATTTGACGCATCTGGGCACATCAGCCAAAGTGACAGCTCTGATGGTCCGCTCCAGGCTCAGTACTGCACAGAGGAAGGTGCCTCTCGCCAGGTCAGAGCACCTGTCTGTCAAGATTGGTGCTACGCCTCCAGAGCCTCGGGGAGGAAGGGCCCGTCTTCTCTCTCCCAGCACTGCTTCTGGTCCCTTGCTGGGGGGAGTCCGGCACCAGCGGCAGAATGTCTCCTGCTCCTGCTTTTCACCGCCACCCTTTCATGGACCGGAGTGAGTGTCCAGTGAACAAGGAGCTTGCGATGCTGCAGTCCAGGGCCAAGTCCAGGGGGCCGCCATTGGCGAGCCTCCACTGGGGCAGGGCCTGGGGAGTGTCTAGCCACACCTACCCTTATCGGCAGCCCTGGCAGGCGAGGCAATGGCGAGGCAAGTCTATCAGAAGCTTTTTTGGGGGGTAGGGCAGTAGAAGAGACTGTAATGCATCTGTTTGTTTCTACTGGAGAATCTGCTTGCAGATGTGGCTGTTTATTGTATAGTCCTTCCTTTGCCTGGTGCTCAGTAGTGGCATAAGGTTAATTGAGGAGCCTGACAGAGTTGCCTTTAATCCCAGCCTCCAAGGTGAGGCCACTGTTGAGACTTTTCTCAGACACTTCCATCCTTTTGTCCCTCTTTCTTACCTCCATTTAACTCTCCATTGTAAACCTGAGGGTAGATTTGTTCTTTAATCTAAGTAGTACATAGCACCCAGTCCTTAAGTTCTATATATGTGAAAAATATTTACTATCATTCTTTTTTCCTCTTTATTTTCCTCTTCTCTTGTGAAATGTAGACATCAGCAAAGGAAAAAAAAACTTGCATCGTTCTTGTGCCGGGGTCTCCAACAAAATGCCCACTCCTCCTGCTGATGGTTTCCTCAGCTGCCACCAATACCCTTCCAATCTATTCTATTCTATTCTATTCTATTCTATTCTATTCTATTCTATTCTTTAAAATGTGTTAATTCTTCTTCTTTTTAACTGGAAGGCTGGCACATGGCAAAGTCACAAAACCATGCTCCAGTTGCTTCTTTATTTGGATTCAACAGCGTTGTTTTCTGCTTTGGAGATTAGACTCAGCTGCTCCTTGTTCTTCGCTTCTTGCCAAGTTGCTCTTCTCCTGCCTCACCTGTCTGACTTTTGGGAAATGGCGTTTTGTGACAGGCTGTGCCCATTTGGCATTTATGAATGGGCAGGTCACAATCCCCACCCCCGTCCATGGCAATCATGTTATGAGAACACTCACAAGGTTCTCTCCAAAGTCCATGCAGGACCATTGACTTACAAATGGCCAGTCCACCTGAGGTTGGGGCTAATCTGTTGAGAAATCGACAGGTGAAGTGGTTACCTGCCAGCTTCCTGGATGAGGCCAATTTGCAAGCCGGAGCCCTGATTCTCCTTAACAAGCATCTTTCCAAAGACAGTACTTGATATTCAGGGTGAAGTGGCAAAATGATTGACCTGTGCTTCCCACTAGTGGTGATTCCCCCTCTTGACTTTCAAGTGCAGATTATCCAACCAGTTTATGACACTGGAAGGAAATTCAGTTGACTGACTCTGGAATTGTTTGAGGAAGGCCAGAATTTCAGGCAAATCCGTTGTATTTGGCTATTAGGACCTTGTGCTTTGGAACTGCAATAATTATGTTATGAGCTGGGAATGAATAATAAGCCATCACTTAGCTGCTGAATCATCACAATCAAAGGCAGATTTTTAAAAACCCCAATAATACAAAACTGACACACATAGCATCCAATGGTAATGAGATACTAAACAAAGCCAGTGTGAATTAATTCAACATGAATTGTAACAAACAGCATAGTTTGTATTTCAGGACGCCTGAGAAGTTGCTTAACTCCCATAATTTGTGAAACTCCATTCCCACAGGAGGTATTCAGACCAGAACAACTGCAGATCCGATGCATTTCGATATGGTATTTATTAGGGATAATGAACATTTGGATCTGAGGAGAAATATAGAATTCCCCAATCATTTCTAACCCTGCCATTCACTTTTCCTCCCAAAAGGCTTGCTTCAAACTTCAGCATTTTTTGGACTGACCAGGCAGATGAACTTTTAATTTTATAGGAGAGGCATCAGAATATTAACAGTTTAACATGGTTAAACTAGGGAATTCACTGCCACTTGAGGCAGTGACAACCGCCAACTTGGAAGACTGTCGATGGCCATTAGCCCTGATGGTTCCGTGTCATCTCCTGCATTGGGGACCACATTCCTGGGGGCACCAGTTGCCTGGAACTCGGGCGGGAGGCCACTGTGGCGCTCATATCCTGGTGGTGGGCATTCCACAGGTGGCTCATTGGCCACATGGGCAGAATGCTAGACTAGACAAGCCTTCCACTTTGTTCTTCTGATGGTTTGGACCACTCTGGGGTCTTTCTGCTTCTTGTCACTGGCTAAGGAATTTGGTTGTTTCCGAGCCCTTAGTGTCCTCTCCAACCAGTTCTGGTTCTGCGATTCTGATGTACACCCTGGGGTTTTCTAATCTCGGGTGTAAACAATATACTTTGCTCACGGGGAGACCCCCCTCCAGAGAAACATTTGATGAACTGCTACAGAAGTGGAAATTAGCGTGACTCTCGTGCCCTTCAACAGTGTTCCCATGCACACGGGTTCCACCATGGTTTCACTTGAAGCATGCAGACGATGACATGGCCATAGCTCCATCATGCTTACAGGGGTAAAATGGAGTTTGCTTCTTCTACTAG